GCCCGCTGCTGGCCCACCTTCAGCCGGCTGCCGACCAGCCCCCCCAGGGCCTTTCCCGCAGGGCAGCTTCCCAGCCTCTCTGAAGTTCTGAGCTGGAGGCTCAGACTCAGTCTCCAGCTGGGGTTGGAGGGTCCAGCTGCCAGTGTCTCCCAGTAGGGCTTGGAAAGCTGTTTATCATAAACAGCCGTGAGCTGTAAACTTTGTTTTTTCACATGAGGACCAAAAAAACCTGGGAACTGAATAGAAGAAATTTAAAAAAAAAAAAAAAAAAAAAATTCTGTGAAGGAAGAGTTGAAGACAGTGTTGGACAATAACTCTGACTTTTCCAATTGAAGCCTTAATTGGTGACTAAAATTACTGTCTTTTTCTTTTCTGGTTCGGTACGTGAGAAGTGTCTGAAAGTTTTATTTAGTCTCAGTCTTGGACTACTAGCAATTAAGATCAGTTACATTTCTTTTAAAACTTCTTAACCTCTCTGTTGCAGGGTGTAATTTTAGAATGAGGTCACGCTGTCTGCGTAATCACAGTGTATTGTTCAACCTGACATTAGAACGAGATAAAGACTGCTACTCGTAAGAGAGAGCAGTTACAGCTGGGGTATCACAGCCATTAACATGCAGTGAACAGCAAGTGCTCTAAAAATGTTCTCGTCAGACAAAAGAATCAGAAATGTGACAAAGTGACAAAGTTATCTTTTTCTTGGGTCAATGTGCCATTGCATAAGGATAAAGTGTTCCAGTTTCCTAGTTAAAATACAGATAAACCTTAAATTGTTTCAGTTGAGCAACAACCAAAAAAATCTCTTTTACAAAAGGTTTTAAGATTGATGTAAGCATTTGTTGTATGGACTTTTAAAATATTAATTAATGAGGGGCATCTGAGTGGTTTTAAAGCAATTAGTAGCCATTATGCTTTCTTTGAAGATCAGCTGCCATTTTATTTCCTGCTCTGGTTATCAGCTTTATAAGTTTCAAGTGTTAAATGTGAAAAATGCTTGTATGATCATCAAAATGAGCTCAGGTTTTTTTATACTGCCTTTATTTTTTTTAATCTTTGTGATCAGGTAGCCTCCAACATGTGATCTGCTTCTATAATAATATGTAGAGTTAATAAATTTGGGGTTCTACAGTTAGAATCCGAACTCCTATATCTAATAACGTAGAAGATATATCTATAATAACAACAACAACAATAATAACAATAGTTTGCATTGAGGATCTTACAAATAGACCCATTTTAAGCTACACCTTAGTGGGAGATTTGTGTCTATTTATGCCCAGAATTGGCTATGTTTGATTTTTAAAATAATGAAAATATTTCCAGTTTATCTTTTCCCCAAAAAGAGTTAGGGGGATTTGTTATACTTTTGCTCATCGCTAGCGTGTGAAATTAGATAATTGTAATTAAGCTCATTCTGGGCTTTTCTGCTTTTAACACTTTTAAGTAATTAGGCTAGTGTCGTGCATGTTTAATGTGCTTTCATATTCTTTCAGCATGCTACAATTAAGTCCATTAGAATTCAGCCTGCAGAAATATAATATTAGCATACTGGTTTGGGAAAAATATTTGTCAAAATACAGCCTTCAGTATTTCCTCCCGAATCCAGGCTTTTGTTTTCAGGAAATTATGGCTGAATTTTCAAATTTGAATTTATAATACTGCTTATGTGAGATGCCTTAAGGACTGGGATATTTTACCCAGAATTTCCAACTCTTTTTCACTTTCATTTCTCCACTTTTTGGTCCAAAGCTTGTCCCGCAGATGTACCATCAGTGCAGTGTTGTCTGGAGCTGCCCCTTGCTGTCCTTGTTCCCTGGCAAGAATGAGTGGCAGAGCATAAATAAAAAGTGATTTTATAAGGAAGAGTTAAGGTCTTTGTATTTTAATATTGAGCTTATGGCTTATTTTTAGCACAGGAGATGTCGTTTTCTGTGAAATTTACTGGTTTGTTGCAATTGAAAATAATCACGAGCTGAGCTTTACCTCCAGAGCAAATACTTCCAGCAGAAGAGTCATCTGTCTTCAGAACCAGCTGAGGATTCTGTAATTTAGTGTTTTCATAGGGATTTAGCGTGAAGTTCAAATGCCTAAATTCAGGCATCCAGCACCCCTCGAGACACCACGGGGCCTGTGAGACGCCTTCCCGGGGCTGCTGGCTGTGGCTCAGCCTGGCTGCTCTGCGGAGCGGGAGCCACCCGCGCCGCCGGGAGCCAGCGGGAAGCGGGACCGTGCCCTCGCCGGGCTCCCGCCGGTTGCAATCATTCGTTTGTTCAGCGCCCAAAGCCTCAGTCTGCCAAATTTCACATCGCTTCACTTACGGCAGCGTGGAACTCGTTTTAAGATGAGTTGCTGCATGTTGTTAAAAAAGCTCTTGTTCCCTAGATGGAAATTGATCTGGCTAAAGGTGAAGCGCGACACAAAGAAGCCATTCTTAAAGTGAAGGAAGAAGCGAGAGCGGAACTGGACATGGAGAGACAAAAACAGCAAGAACTAATCACAAAATATCAGAGGGATCACGAAGAGCTCCAGAAGAAGGTGTGTAACGCTCAAGAGAAGAGTTTTGTGGCAGTAGATAATGTAAACTATTGAAAAAGGGTATGTGAAGAAATAAAACCTTCTTTTTGTGCACTCCTGTGTCTAGATGATGCAGTATTTTTTCCCAGTCTTAGTATATGACAATGGGTTTTTTGGGGTTTTTTTGTTTGTTTGTTTGTTTAACTGGAGCAGGCTAAAAGGTTCGCTGCTCTAGTGAAAGTGGAATGGCGTGGAAGTTCGTTCTTTTCTGGTACTTTCTCTACCCGGAGTTCATCTGTGCCCACAGGCTGTAGTTGTTCATTATTTTTAAACCGACATCATTTTCTAAAAGCTGTGGAGTGTTTCGGACGATGAGGAGTTGTCACAAAGCCATCCACGCTGGGTTTTCCCTTACCAAATGAGTTCAGCACTGGTGGGCTGAGGTCCAGCGGCCAGTTAACTGCTTTCCTGTCTGTCCTGGTGGCTCCATCACGTGCAGTTGGCTGTTCCCAGCTACCCAGACCTACGGGTTTTCACGTTTTATATGGAATTGTATGAAAACTGTACCTATAACCCTAGTTTTCAAAAGATTTGACGCACTTCTTGAGAATTCTGGAAAAATCAGAGAAATGTGATGAAATTATATTGTTCTTTAAAATTCACTACACTACTCAGTGTTTTAAAGAGCTGAAAATAACTCTTTGGCTTAGTTCACTTTACAAATGTTTGACTATGATTCTAAAACCCTGAAGAATACTGGCCTGCAGGAAAGAAGTTAAGTTTTCCCATTTTTACTTCTGTTTCTCTGTTTGGTCTTGGATGTATTAATTAATCTCTCCGTTCTTAGTGGCTTTGGATCCATTTGCAGCTCTCTGGTGTCCTTGGAGGGTATTATGTAAATTCAAAGCATCTTTTTTTTTCTCTCTGAGGACATGTATGTTTGCATTTGTATTTTTTTTCCTGAAGTCAACATTTGTCTGATACTTAATTTTACATATCTAACAGTACCCACTCCATGCAGACTAATGCAATTTTTGTCTCACCTAATGCAGATACCAGGATTAATATCCAGTGCCACCAACAGCTTGAGGATGGAGACGGAAATTCTTGAAAAGAAGCTACAAGACGCCCAGATCAAACTTGCAGAGAAAGATGAAGATAAGGAAAAAGAAATTCAGAGCCTTAAAAGACTAATTGCTGAACTTGAGTTTCAGCTGACGATGGAAAAGAACAATAATGAATCAGTTCTGGATAATATGAGGAAAGAAATTAAACACAAGTCAGATGAACTGGAAAAATTAACCCAGGAGAGGACACAGCTGATTCACAATTTGAGTCAAGTTCAAGAGGAGGTAGGAACATGACCGAGGAAATGCTTTTGCTATTTTTACTTAGAGACATGTGATTTCTAAAATCACGCAAAGTGTCCCTGTTTCTGACCCCGTTTTGTACTGGTTTAAAAACCATTGAAATGAAAAGATTTATAAAACGTAATTTCATAAATACAAGGTATCACAAATACGTGAAATTTTTAATTCAGCAAGCACTTAAACTAGTGTTTTATTTTAAAAAAAAAAAAAAACCAAACAGAAACTTTCAGGTCCTGCAAGACTTTTCTTTCCCAGTCTCTAGCCTGCCATCACGCGACATAACACGAGTAAACAATAAAGCATCCTCCATGCTTTTGAAGTAGAAGACACGGACGTTTCTCATTCTTTGAACTGGACAGCAGCAATCCTCCCCGTAATCTTATTTTGGAAGTAACTCCTAAGAAAACCCTTCGTACTGTCGGTAGGAGCGGGAGTGGGCACAGTCCTGTTCTGAATGGCTTCTGGGGCAGCGACTGCATCCTTTAACGTGGGAGCGTGTGTGTGCTTCCTGCCGTGCCAACGGGGACGTATCCCGCCTCCCACCAGTAAAGCCGCTTTCCGTAACAGCGAAGTGCATAAAAATCCATCGAATGTGAAGAGAAATTTGGCTGGTGGATGTGCTTACCACAAGCATTTGCTGAATGTTTGGAATATAATGGGAAGGGAGGAGAGCGCTGCAGTGCTCTGTGAGAAATGTGCAAGCAGTGGAGTCGGGGACTGTAGATAAGATTAGACTGGAATGTCCAAAGTAATTAAGTGGCAGCAAAAATCCTGGGAAACAGTGGAAATGAAACTCTTCAAAATGAATTGGGGCTCGGGTTGATATTTATGTCTTCCTTGAAAAAGGTTCAGAAACACTGTGTTAGTGAAATTAGAATGATCTGGCAGTCGTTCTGTCCTGTACCTGTGGAAAAGGCTCTCGGGAAGACGTGCCCTCTTCCAGTATTGGCCCGGAACTTCAGCAGAGTGAGGAACGCACTGTTATCCTCAGCCGTGAGGTTCCACCAGCTCCGCTTGTGTTCTTAGTCTTCCCCGCTCTGAAACAGAGTTCCTCCTGTAACGTAATTCCGTTAGGAAGTGGGGAGATAAGAGTGGTTGAAAATGGAAACCGGCCTCAAGATAAACTTGACGCCAGGATACTTCCTCAGATTTGCAGGTAGCACTTCCCAGACGCTTTCATGGACTGTCCTTGACCGTCTGAGTGGCAGGGAAAGTTGGGTCTAACTTGCTTTCGGTTGTCTGCAGAGTTAGGTCATCGGAGAATAAGTTATTTTGGATATTTACATCTCTCCCACTTCTGCTTCTGCACGTAGTTCTGTTCCTTCTCCAGCAGCTTGACGCAGAGGTTAGACAGCCTGAGCAGAACTGCTGCGTTTCCACCCTACGTCCCCTACAGGTGCTTTCACCAAAGTAAAACTTTAAAATCTTAAAAAAATGGGTCAACAAAGGACTGTTCTTTTCTCCATCGGTTTTCAACTTTTGACGGGAACACGTGTGCGAAAACTTAGTAGTTTTATTAACCTCTTCTTGGCTGAGCAGAGCTTACCGCCTGCCACTTCAGCGGGAGCACCCTTCTGTGCTCTGGCTTGACTGAAACCAGTATTTGCTCTTGGAAACGTTAAAAAAGCGCTATTGAGATTATCTTTCTTAGGCATTCTCTTCCCTGTGCACACCCGCTGTCATAATCACGTAGAGAATTTCAAATACCGATGTTTGTCCTCACTTCAAGGCGGTACGTGGCCTGACCCCGTGTACAGCTCGCACTCCTGGCCCTGAGGAGGTTTACAGCAACATCTTTGTGTCCGGGCCGTGAGGCTGTACGTGGCTCAGGGTGCTCTCCGTTTGGCTCCATCATCACGCTCTGTTGGAGGCTGCCGTGGGGGTTGCTTCCCTTCCATTTTCGTGGACCTCCTGGTGTCAGCAGCAGTTGCTTGCTTAGAAGAATAAAAAAAAAAAAAAGGGATATTTTCCGCTTGTATTAGTTCTTTCAGTAGTTCTGACTTTTAGTGATGTTGTCCCTTGTGTTTTAATTACATTGTGTTTCAGCTGGAAGCCAGGAAAATTTGCATCACAATTAAGTGCTGTGTGAGGTACCAACCAAGGGGACTTGTGTGGTACGGAGGCAGTTTCAGTCGTCTGCTCGAGGCTTGATCATTTCTCATTTAGGTACCAGGAGTCGCAGTGCAGAGCTTGTGAAAACCGCTAGGTTGAGTATCATTTATCCCAGTTAACTGGGAAGTAATAATCAATAAAGAGGGCAGTCCCAAACAATCAGGGCGCCGTTATTTAAACTGCAGAGGAGCAGAACTTCTTGGACGTCTGATCGTAACGAGGTGGTGCAGTAACAGTCGACCGCTGCCCGTTCCTTTTCCCTTTCCAAGAGCAGCATTCCCTGTTTGCCCCCAGCTGGAGGGCGGGCAGGAGATCAGAAGTGACTTCTGATAACTTACCTCGGATTTCCCACTGTCTCCTGAGAGAATGAAGGGGGTGTGAACGCTGATGTGCGTCCCCTGAGCGCCCTTCAGGGAAACCGAACTGTGGGGAAGCGTTGAAGGGTCTGTAGGCCTCCGTACCCTCCAGCCACCCTGGGGCCTTTGGTCAGCTCACGCTTTTGACTGATGGCACGTTGTAAAGCCAGGGTTTGTTTCTGTTTGCAGAACACTCTTCTCCAGGAAACGGTGCGCAGAGAGTGTGAGGAGCGCTACGAGCTGACCGCGGCTTTGACTCAAGCCAGGGAGCAAGTCCTGGAACTAAAAAAGCTCAGTGGAAACTTCCCGTTGTCGCCGTGTTCCCTGCCGCCGGGCAGCCTGACCTCCCCCGCCGCCCTGCTCGCCGAGTACGGACAGAAGAGCC